TACGGGGTAATTCAGCCGAGGCGCGGTCCGAGTCACGCACCCATCGGTGGGGGTTTCCCTCTGGCTACAAGGGCTCGAACAGCGAGGACAGGCCGCTTTGGAACGCAAAAGGCAGCGGAGCTGGTGAGGGGTCTGGAGCACAAGTGTGATGAGGAGCGCCTGAGGGAACTGGGGTTGTTCAGCCTGGAGCGAAGGAGGCTGAGGGGAGGAGACCTTATCGCTCTCTCCAACTACCTGAAAGGAGGGTGTGGAGAGGTGGGTCTCAGTCTCTTCTCCCAAGTAACAAGTGACAGGACAAGAGAAAATGGTCTCAAGTTGCACCAAGGGAAGTTTAGATCGGATATGAGGAAGAATTTCTTTGCTGAAAGGGTTCTCAGGCATTGAAACGTGTTGCCCAGGGCAGTGGTGGAGTCCCCATCCCTGGAGGTATTTAAGAGTCATCTAGACATAGTGCTTAAGGACATGGTCTAGCTGAAGACTTGTCAGGGTGAGGTCAGTGATTGGACTCGATGATCTTAAAGGTTTTTTCCAATCGAGGCAATTCTGTGATTCTGTGAAAGGTAATATCTGGAGCCATGACCGAGTGCACCGAGTGGCTGATGTTACAGTGAGAAATGGCCAGCCCTTTGCAATAAGTTTGTTAGGATCCCTAGATCCAGCTGATTGAGAGTCATGGTTCTCCTCACCTAAATCACATCATCCATTTATGATCTGGTGAAATCTGGTCTTGCTCTGTTTATCTAGTGCTGTACTGGGAACAGAGGCTCCTTCATGGATTGCTCTGGTAGTGGGCCCCCTTGCAGTCCCACCAAGGGATAGAATATGAATGGTTTAAGATCTCTCTGGGCTTCAAATTTAAATAAATTGCAAAATGTGAAACTAATTATAATAACTTCTCTCACCCGCATCTGTGTTACTTCCTTCTCTAGAAATGGATTTTGAAGCCCTGAAAAAATACTCAGCACTACATCCTAAACCTGCTGGACTTACTCTTCAGTATGGCACCGCAGGTTTTCGCACCAAGGCCGAACAGCTTGATCACGTCATGTTCCGCATGGGCTTGCTGGCAGTTCTCAGGTCCAAAGCCGTGGTAGCTACTATTGGCGTCATGGTTACAGCATCTCACAATCCAGAAGTAAGAACAACCTTTTCTTTAAAAAAAAAAAATAAAAATAGGTGTGGTCAGTCTGGTGGAATTGAAGCTCTTCATAGTTCTGAGACCAGATCCTGAAGGCACTTGGACCTGTTTAAAGCATATGTTTAGCTTGCCCCCTGTAAATGTGATCTCTGTCATGGTTGAAGTTACTTTTTCCTGTACACAAAAGCATCATTTTCTCTCATGTGGAAGTGCTGTAACGTAGGAAGTTTGTAATGTTGGCAAGCCAGGAGTACCACTGAGAAGAGGTGAACCTTTGAGCAAAATTTGCAAGGTTGAAAAATAAAGAGGTGCAGCATTACAGTTGCAAACCAGGCATTTAGACTTCTGCCACCCTGGTGCATTCCAGGTTATTAGCATCTCCCTTTATGTCATTTTAATGTCAAATGAATTTTATTCCATAATCATAAAGGGGAAAAAGTCAGTTATTTAATATGCTGGTTATGTTACTTTTTCAGGCTTGTTGGAGGTTTAAATAAACAGCTAAGCTATTGCTTCCCAGAAATGCTCCGCATTTAAAGAAGCAATGTGATGGGACCCCGTGTTAGCTGTCTTCAAAGAGATTTTATTAAGTTTCCCACTTTTAGGCTTACTATCTTTTGCTCTTTTTTCTTCTAAGGAAGATAATGGTGTAAAGCTGGTTGATCCTCTTGGAGAAATGCTGCACCCTTCCTGGGAAGAGTATGCCACACAACTAGCAAATGCAGAGGAAGGAGAATTACAGAAAATAATAACTGAGATCTGCCAAAAAGCAGCAGTGAACCAGCACAAAGATGCTTCAGTTTTTATTGGTAGAGACACCAGGTAATTACAAAATGCTGACAAAAGTTTTCCAATGCTATTCCTATATCAGCTTCCCCGATAGTTATGAAGACTTCCAAGCACTGTTTCTGAACAGGGCACTTCATTGTGGGTTTGGGGTTTTTTTTTTTCTGAGTGCCATATGACATCCATGTGTGTTCAGCAGTTTACTTGTCTTTGCCATTCTCTGGGGTGGTGGCTTTCAAACTTCTTTATTGGGAGGTGCCTATGATAAAAAAAAGTATGGATTTCTTCATATTGAATCTAAGTCTACTGGCAGAAAGCTTGTAGAGTCTTTTTCCACCACGTGTGCTTCCTTCCCAAGTCTGTACATAAACGTCTTCTGCAAAGATTGTCAGTTGTATTTGTTGTTTTCCAGGCCAAGCAGCGAGAAGCTTTCACAGTCAGTAATAGATGGTATCTCTGTTCTAGGTGGTCAGTACCACGGTATGTTAAACTTTTGCAATTCTAGTCTGATTGTAAGCTTTTATGTAAATGTCACTCTGCTATGAAGACCTAAAGCAGTAGCCTAGACACCATTTCCATTTCTGCTTGTAATGATTTTCTTTCAGGTTAGCTGTATGGCTTTCATGCAAGGGGAGGTGGGTTTCAGCTTTTCCTAACAGAACTTGAAACATTTCCTGCACTGCATTTGTCTGTTATTGTAGAATAGCAAATACTGTACAACTTTTAAGGAGGAATTAATTTAACATTCTGTTTCTGAATATTGTGCCTTTCATTTTATGCTAGACTATGGTCTGGTGACAACACCACAGCTACATTACATGGTCTGTTGCCAAAACACCCAAGGGCGGTATGGGAAAGCAACGCTGGAAGGTTATTATGAAAAACTGTCCAAAGCTTTTACAGAACTGATAAAACAGGTGACTGTACAAAACAATATCTCCTGTTTGTTAACCTCTCTGGGTCTGAAGTTTTGAATTCAGCATGCCTCCAGGTGTGGTTTCACTAGGTTATGGGTTCACTTTGCTCCTTCTTTCCTTGTGCTCAGTCTCCCTGCTCTGGAGAGAGTCAGAGGCACCTGAAGATTGACTGTGCCAATGGAATAGGAGCCCTGAAGATGTCAGAAATGGAGCCCTACTTTCCAAAAGAGGTGCTAATTCACCTATATAATGATGGAACCAAGGAGAAACTCAATCACTTATGTGGTGCAGATTTTGTGAAGGTTCACCAGAAACCACCTAGAGGTACATACTCAGTAATTTTATATCCTTTACCTCCTCTCCAGATCTGAAAGTGCAGGGCCTCGCAATGGCGTATCCTCCTTGGATAAGCTGAACTTCCTGTTTCTTACTAGGTGATGGCATGAATGGTTCTGCTTGCACAATGGAAAGAGAGAATCCTACAGCTGGGTTTGGCACCTCCCTGTTTTATATTAGTCTCAATTGTTTGGAGGAGTACAGTATGTCTCTGGCTGAAATACGATTGACAGTCCAGCCTGAATCATAAGCTGATGGAGTCCAAAGATCAGTCAGGTCTGGCTTACTGTTATTTACCTTAATTCCCTTTGTTCTATCAAGAAACATTTACATTGTGGGCTGGGGTTGCAGACACTTTGCCAGGTTCCTGAGGAAGATCTAGGATAATTAACAGCTTGATGCCAGCAGACTGACTGATTGACATAAACCAGTGAGGAAATTATTTCAACCAATTTCCTGTGAAGTGCATAAAAGAAAACCCCTGAACTCGGGGAGCAGGCTAGTTTGGATATTAGGTTATTTGAGGCTAAAGTGGGTGCCCTGTTTCACAACTGCACCCTCACTGCAGCTGCTAGCCAAACTTGAGCAGTGATGGATGGTGGTGTTTTCCTCCTTGACACGCTGCCTGTGTGTGGAGAAATGTGGAAAGGGGAGCAGCACAGCGGCAGTCCCTGCTGGGGACGGGTGCTTGTGTGACACATCTGGATCTTGGCTTTCACTGGGAGCGAGGGGAGATTCCTTGGTTGTTTCCATGCAGGGATGTGTTCTGAAAAGAAAATATGGTTTCCTATCATTCACTGAAAGAAATGATCTGATTTCCCTGAAGAGAACAGCTTCCTGTTTAAAGTCATAGGGAGCCTCAACCTGTTAAATATTGCAGTTGCCTTTACCTTATGCTTTAGCCTGAGGACCTCAGTGGCAGTGGGTTGTATTTTCCTGTGTCACTGTTGGCCTGCAGGAGGAGAGACAGGCAAGTTTTGGGGTTTAGTTCCCTGCACTCTGAAGTACGAGGTGTCAGCAGTGTGGGCCAGTTTTCCTGTCTGCTTGTGTACTGAAAGGTTGGGTTTTTTCCCAAGAAGGGGTTACGGGGTGCAGCGTGTCCTTTGGAGCTCTGTGGTGAGTTCCTGACGGGCTCTGAAGTCACCCAAGGGAATGGCCAGCTGCAGTTTCTGAGGAATGGACTCTGAGGTTAATGTGCCCGGCATCTTAGAGAAGAGCAAGATGTCCCCTAATAAAAGAGCAGCTCATTTTTGTGTGCTGTTGCTGTTTCAGGTGGCCACTGCTTCCCAGTTAGTTCTTTACTGGTATTAAGCCTGGGAAGTTTTTGATGCTCCTTATGCATTATCTACATTGTTGTATAAATTAAATATCAAGCAGACTAGACGTGAGGTATTTTATAGCCAGCAGATCCACTCGTGTGTTTTTGTACAGCTCTGAGAAATCTAGGTGATGGTGGCTTTGGAGCAGGGCTGTTTTTTCAATGGAGGGGTTTATTTGCCACCTCCTGTTGTAACTGTGCTTCAGTGGTGGCTTTGCTGCCGTGGGGGTGCACTCTTGTCCTGCATTAGGAAAGTGTGTCTCCTGTGTGAAAGGAAGCAAAGGGGAGGTGCAGGTCTGTCAAGTGGGAGTGGAATAAAATTAAACAGGCTTGACATTTCCTGAAGAAAATACTTTTTGATGCAAGGGGAAAAATAGTTAATTCCTGTGTGCCTTGGAGGGTGAAGGATGTCGTGGGGTTATACCATGAGTGTGCAATGGACCTGCCTCGCCTCAGGAAATGCAGGTGACACGGCTCTGGAGCCCTCCTCTGCCCAGCGTGTTTGCCTCCAGGCCCAGGGGTGCACGGCATGCTGCAGCCCTGCTTGGAAGAGCAGGAAGGGAGGGCTGGGCAAGTGTCCCCTGTCCAGCCAAGGTCAGCCAGATGCTGCTCGCTGCTTCAGGCTCCTGCCCAGGTGTTGGGCAGGCCCCCGGGTGCCACTGTGCCAACACCGGCTCACTCTGCTGTGCAGCGGGGGAAGGCGATTCGCCTCGGTCTGTGGGTGATGTGTGTGACTCGGTGAGCTCTGTGGTGACTCAGTGTGTGAGAAAAGTGGTGGGTGTTCTTCTGCTTCCAAGTGACTAACCTGGTGCCATAGCTGACATTTAGTGCTTCTTTCCAAGACTGAGAGATGTGACTACACACAGTAGTTCTGGGGCTGATTTTCATACACATGTGGGGAGAAGGTGTAGCATAGTATGTGTTAAGAGAACCTATAATAT